TTTTGATAACTGAAGCTTGGTTCAAGGAACCTTGGTGTTCTCCTCCAAATCCCAAGGAGGAAGGTGCTCACTCTGTTTACTTTTGTTTCACATATGTTTACAAGGTATTCCAACACTTCAATAGAAACATCCCAATTGTAGAATGTCCGTCCATTCAGCTTTTATCCTCCGTATTGCACAGTTTTTACTTTCTAAAAATTCACTTAACGCTTTATCATCTTGTCAGATTTCCGTTACGCTGGCTGAGCACACTGTCTCATTTACTGTCGCTCCTAATTAGTCCTAAATTTCAACAATCCTCATTTTCTCGCACTGCATTTTTCGTCCAAAATTTTCTAAATCTTCTGTTGCAGAACAGCTCTGGTCTTTGTATGCTGCAGTATGGTACATGGGCATGCAAGACATTTTATCAGTGTCTTGCTGTAGTTACTGTCTTTTTGCTTTAACACATCCTGACCCAAATGTTTTCTGAAATAGTTCCTAACGTTGACTGGATGAAGGATTTATGTTAGTGGACGTAATATTTTTTGTTTCTCCTGTACCAGTCAAACCATTCTCTGGTTAATTTTGAGTACTTTCATATGTTCACAGGTGTTGGTGTGTTAAACAATTTATTGTATGCGGTAGGTGGTCATGACGGTCCTTTGGTAAGAAAAAGTGTTGAAGTGTTTGATCCTGTCGCCAGTACATGGAAGCAGGTCGCAGACATGAACATGTGCAGAAGAAATGCAGGTATACGCAACAATTACTTTAAAATAGTGGTAATATCGTTTGGTGTAAAGGGTGTGTTCGTTCCTGGATTTCTGCGGCTTTCATGATGTCGCAGAATAGAAATAGTGCTTTTATGGGGTGAACAAGGCACTTGCGAATTTTCATATTGCTTTCCTGTCTTTTTTTTTTTCCCAGGTGTTTGTGCTGTAAATGGTCTCTTGTATGTCGTTGGAGGAGATGATGGTTCCTGTAATTTATCAACAGTGGAGTATTATAATCCAACAACTGATAAATGGACAGTTGTGTCATCTTGTATGAGTACAGGAAGAAGCTATGCAGGTAATGTATATAGGTATTTTTTTAACAGACCTTTTACAGTATAACAGCTAGGATAAGTAATTTGACACAGCATCCAAACAAAGTCCTGTCTAAGGTAAAACCTGAGATACTGGAATGGGTGTGAAGAATCTGATGGTACATTTTGAATGATGACTTCAAACAATTATTCACTACGAGACAAAAAAGGGGATAAAACTGCAGCCAAGGGATTTAGCACGTTAAGTAGTGAGTCAGAAAGATGATTCTGGTATGACCAGTCCTTTTTTTTAACAAGACATTTGTGCCTCAGTCTGCGGGAGTCCAATTCTGAGGTTCTTTGGGATTTGGTATTTAGAAAACAAGAGCTGTTTCAGGAATCTTGTCCTTCAATAACTGCAGTTTATCAAAGGAGTTAAAGTGAATATTAGGGATATATTTCACTGATAACAAAATGAAACTTGAGTAATGACAATTTTTTTCAAGTCACAGAAACTTTCAGAACTTTGCACTGATTGATACAACTGATTGTCAGAAATTAGGGAAAGTATGAACACTGATGCTGGTGCACAGTTTTTTGATGTTATACTGGTTGCAAGGTATTATACTAAAACTTGATTTTCATATTCTTGATTTTTTTTAATACTACCTGAAGATTTATGCCTTTTTTTTTTCCTCACTCTAGGTGTTACAGTTATTGACAAACCATTATGATCAGGAAAGGAATTTTCAACTTGATTATGCACTAGAAGCAGTCTTCAAGTGTATTTGAAGTGACTGAGTACCTAAGCACTTCTCTACTTGTAGCTGCACCTTGAGTCACAACGGAAGATGTGACTATCTACAATTACAGATGACAGATGATGAAGATTACTCTAGGTAGAAGCAATGCGTAGGATTATTCTGCAGTTGAGCAGAAGCTGACTGAATTTTTGAAGTCTAGTGGACCATTTCTTTTTTATTGCAAGGTCTTAAAAATAAAAAAGCCGCTTTCGTAAGGACCGACTTACGTCAGTCATGACTGAGAAACGGATTGTCAGTGAAGAATGGTGTGTATTCTGGTGAAAGTAAATTTTTGTCTTATTTTTTCCAGAGACTAATAAATATATTTAAAGAAATGGTCAGTCTTCATAGTAGGTATTGAATCCCACCTCAGTAATTCGAGCTGGCATGGGGTAAATGTTTCCTTTTGTAAAACTTTTGTTACATAACTATAATATGTGCATATGTTTGTGTGAGCATAAGTTGCTTTCTATTGAAATTCTTCAAAACCTGATTTTACTATTTATAATTTGGCACAGTACTTTGAATATGCCAGTACTATGTTGTAAAACAGAGCTGTATTTTTTGATAGGTAACAATGCTTAACACTACTAATTCCCACTGAAGGAGATCAGAGATGGTATAACACTTCTTGAACAGGTGTAATTTCAAGATCTTTTTAATAAAAATGTTGTCTGTACTTACGAATTTTTTTTCTGTTCGATTTTGGTCACATTTAGATGTTACTTCTTTCTTAGCTTTTTATCCAAAAGGTGATTTGGCATGAAACTAACTGGAAATTTATAATGAATGTGTGAAATTGCCTTGAACTTGCATGGTACTAAGGCGTATTTATGCGTGTAACCTTAGCTTCTATGAGCTAATACCTGAATATACTGTATGTGGCCACGCTTACAAAGCAGCTCATTTTTATTCGTTCTTTGGATGGCCTCCTTTTAACATGACCAAAGTTATTGTCATATTTGAGACGTTTTCGTCAAATAAAAGTTTGTATACTGTTTCCTAAAGCCAACAAGTTGCTTAAAACTTGTGTTGCTCAATACAAGTCTCAAACCAAATAATCTTGACATCAGTGGAGAGATTTTGTTTGGCGTTTTTTCTGGGGTGGGGGGGAACGCTGGTGTTCTACAGATCTGAATGGAAGCAAACTGAAAAGAATGACGAAGGTCTAAGAACCGGTCATGTAAATATCACTGGTTTGCCGCAGGTTTGTTTTGAAAGCTTCGGCTGTCAGTTAGAAAAGTAGCGGCCACCTCCACGTTCCAGTGAAACTGTCTGAGCTGTGAAATTAGTATGACAGGCGGGAGTAAGGCAATTGTATGCTATTAAACGGACGATGGCGTTTTGCTGCCGCTCTGGCGCGGGGCGCTGTTGGGTGTAGGTGGCGGGTCTCACCGGGAACACCTCAGCGGAGCTGCGCGTCCGTGTCATTTGTAGCGTTTTACCTCAGGCCGAGCTCGGCGAACGGGGTCCTGCTCCGCTGCTCCCCTGGCACACCCTCGCGTTCCAGTCCCGTTACTGACCGAGGCAAGGGAGCCCCAGCGCCGCTTTAAAGGCCGCGGAGGGGGGCAGCGGGCAGCCGGGGCTCGTCTAGGCGGAGGGCGCGCGCCCCGGGGCACCGGAC